AGCGTGGGTCGTGGCAGTGAACCCTGATGTGGCAAAGTTAGCCACTAACAGACAAGAAATTTTTAGCCTAAATGGCAGCACTACCATGGTCTTCAGTAACTAATGCTTTGCAGCTGTTCAGGTGTTGCCACAGTTTGATCACTGGAGGGTAAGTGAGTAAGATCTCTGATTAATTAGAAGGTGATCCTTTGTTAATTTGGTACTGGGAAAGAAGGATGTGTACATTAAAGTCAGGCAGATTCTAGGGGTTGAATACAGATCATAAAGCTTTTAAACTATACTTTTTAGTACAAATCATTATCTAAAGGATATACTAAAATCAAAGAATCACAGAACCATCAAGGCTGGAGGAGACCTCTAAGATCATCAAGTCCAACCATTAACCCGTCACCGCTGGAACCCCCAAACCCTAAACCATATCCTCCAGTGCCAGATCCAGATGCCTCTTAAACACCTCCAGGGATGGTGACTCCACACACTCCTTGAGCTCTGGCAGCCTTTGGGCCATGACCACTGCCCTGGGGAGCTGTTCCAGTGCCCAAACACCCTGTGACAACTCTGTGCCATCACACAAGCAGGTGCTCTCTGCCCCCAGAAGGCAGCTCAGCCCTCTTCTACCTGTTATCCTCAGACCATATCTGCTCCCCTGCCCCAGCAACTGGCCCCAAGTGGGTGGAACATTCCAAGACTCTGAAACTTGCCCTGAGCACTGACCTGGCTTGAGAGTATTTAATTTATGTAAAATGAAAACTGACAAGACGTTCTGGCACTATTTAAAGGAACACAGAAAACTGTGGTTTTGCTATAAAACTAACCCTTTGAAAACAGCATTGGAAACCTCCTTTCAGGCATATCTGAACTTTACACGCTGTAATATCTGAAAGGAAGAACACTTAAAAAAAAGGAAGTAATGGTGTGTTATTCTCTGACAGGGCAGAAACACGCAGTGCTGTCCATTTTGTCCCCCATGCTGCTGCCTGCAAATTACAGTGGCAGTCTCTGACAAGCAGGCAAAAGCAGCAGAGCACTCCAGCTACTGCTGCTCCACTGCAGCTTCCACCAACTAAGACAGCAAGCAGAGATTGGAATTGCAGAGTCCAAGAGGAAACTGGTAGAAGAACTCCATCTACAAATGTGCCAGAATGCCTCACTCAGTTAAGTGGTGATCACAGGATTTAAGTCTGGATTAAAAACCCAACCAACCACACACACAAAGCTCCCCAAGACAACCAAAAATTAACTGCAGGGAAAGGACCTTAATGTGGATTACTGCTAACAAGTCGGCATTTTCTGTTCATAAAGGATAATAGATAGAAACATCCATTGTAATAAACTCTTTAGAACAAAGCATGCTGGAAACTCCAAATTAAACCGAAAGCACACATTGTAAAGGGAGGAGCTGGAATTATGGGAATCAAACTGATTCTTTCCTTCTTGACCTTCCCAGTCCCCTGAGGTAACTCACATTCATATTTTAGTGTGACTGAAGAAGAGGAAGGAGGAATTTACCATCAGATTTGAGTTAGTTCTAATTATGTAAGACACATAGTCAAGGGTATAACCTTTTTTAAGTCACTCCTTAAAGCAGTGTCATTGGTGAAACGCTTAGTTTTGGATCTTTACAGCTAATTGCTCTCTTCAACAGACTTGCTTCTTCTACTTGTTTCAAATGACACTAAAAACTTGACATGGAGAGGTAATACCCCCTCAATGCATTAGTTATACTTCATTACTTACTGTGGATGGAGGTGATGCAGTTGTCTGTTGATCTGTAGTAGCTTGTGCCACAGGACCATTTGTAACACTGTTTATGTTTGCACTGGACACTTCAAATTTGACATCTTCTAAGCCAGGAATAGAGGATAACTGAATGCACAAAACATCATCAAATAAGCAATGAGCACATCACAAGTCAATGTGAACAAAAAAATCTGCAGTATGCAGATTCCCAGGTACTGCCCCGGCAGGTTTTACATGAGTAAAACTGTAACTTTTTATCACTAGTTTTGGTTGTTTTGAATGGGGGAAAAAATCCTTCTATTCAGGTGGCTTCTACAATAAAACCTCCTAAACACTACTTTGGAGCTTTCACTGTTAGCACAGGGTTGCAGTGCAGAAAAAATTCCCCAGCATTTTGCTCCTGCACTTAACAACCACACTTAAGCCATGCCATGTCTGCTCCTTCCTTCACAGTGAAAGAACTCATGGCAAGAGCATCTCTGTCACCTAACAGATGGGTGACTGCATACAGATTTTTCAATTTTCTGTATCTTTCACTCTTTTCTTAAGGAAATGCCGAGAGTGGATATTAAACACACCACGTATCCATTTGAAGGAAATTCTGTGTCACATAATCAAGAATTCTGTAAAAAATTATCAACCAAGAGTGGCTGGAGAGCAGCCAGGCAGAAAGGGACCTGGGAGTTTGGAGAGACGGGTGACTGCATACAGATTTTTCAATTTTCTGTATCTTTCACTCTTTTCTTAAGGAAATGCCGAGAGTGGATATTAAACACACCACGTATCCATTTGAAGGAAATTCTGTGTCACATAATCAAGAATTCTGTAAAAAATTATCAACCAAGAGTGGCTGGAGAGCAGCCAGGCAGAAAGGGACCTGGGAGTTTGGAGAGACAGGAAACTGAACACGAGCCAGCAGTGTGCTCAGGTGGCCAGCACTGGAATTGTGCTGCCCAGGGAGGTGGTGGATTCACCGTCCCTGGAGGTTTTCAAGATGAGACTGGATGTGGCACTTAGTGCCATGGTCTAGTAATGACGGTAGGGTTGGACTTGATGATCTTGGAGGTCTTTTCCAACCTGGGTGATTCTATGATACTGTGAATCAAAATATCAATTCCTAAATACTTTGAAATAAATAAGGGCTAATAAGCACTGTTTGGATTACTATATTTTTCTTCTCCCCGAAGATCTTAATGAACAGTTTCAAAACATCCTGCCCCTGCTCCCAGAAAAGCCAACCAAAATTGCCTCCATCATTATTGAATGAAGAACTGGTTAAAACTTTACATTTGGTGTTTTACTGGCTTTGGGGTTTTTTTGTGGGTTTATTTTAGCAAATTATATGATACACTACAAGACCATAGATTATATCCTTTTGTCATTTCAGCCAATGAAGATACTTCAGACACATTTGCATTAGCTTAGCCAGTTCAGGTCACATTTCAATACCAAAAGATTGACAAGGCTTCTATCTAGGTACTTTTAACAGCTGAAATCCCTGTATGTTTGCATGTCACAGCCCAGTAACAAACAAAGATACTTTTGTTTTACAAAGGGGGTAAAAATGTATTAGTTTATATGGCAAATGCAATTTTACTCTGCAACTTCGCAACTGAAGTAGCAGATTAGAATATCTGAAAACATCTCTCAATTTTCTTAAAACAAACATTGCAATAAAAGCAACCCAAAGAAGGTGCCACACAGCTCAGCTGCCTTTTCAAGATCTAAGTGCTCCTTTCCTGTTCCATACATGCTTAGAGAGACATATATGCTTAAAAGAGACAAAGCCAACTTTTCCACCATGTGCTGTTGGCTCATAGAAGTGTAGAATCATCAAGGCTGAAGAAGACCTCTAAGATCATCCAGTCCAACCATTCACCTGTCACTGCTGGAACCCCTAAACCCTATCCTTCAGTGCCACATCCAGACACCTCTTAAACACCTCCAGGGATGGTGACTCCACCACCTCCCTGGGCAATATTCCAGTGCCTGAACACTCTCACAGGGAAAACATTTCTCCTAACATCCAATCTGACTCTGCCCTGTCTCAGCTCAAGGCCATTCCCTCAGTCCTCTCCCTGCAGCCATGGCAGGACAGACATCCCCAACCTCTCTCCAGCCCTGTCAGGGAGTTGGAGAGAGCCATGAGGTCACCTCAGGCCTCTTCTTCAGGCTAACCAAGCCCAGCTTCCTCAGCCCTTCCTTTCTTCCGTATCAACTACATGTTCACACGTCACACAGTGCAAATAGCAAGGCATTCAAAGAGAGAATCTCTGATGTCGGGATGTTGTATTAGCTCTTTCAAATCACTCTGAAAACTTACTCGATCAATTCAGACTATAAAGGAAGCTAGTTCATGCAATCTAGAAGGCTGGAACTGGACAAAGTCCATACAAACCTTTGCATCCAAAATATTGAGTGTTGTTTCAATTTGCTGGATACGGAGAGAGAGTGCTGACAGTTTCTGCAACAGAAAACAATTAGGAGGTGAAAACACTCCCCTGGGTATTTGTGCATATAAAACAGTTCACAGCTAGGTAAAAAAAATAACTTCTGTCTTCCACCTGCTGAAGACAGAGTAGAGTGTAAATGAGATGATCAATTATGAAACAAATGAAGCAATGACAACTCTTTTTAGAACAGTAGCTACAGTACTTCAAATTTGGAATCATTTCACTCTGCATTTAGCTTTTCCAACTAATGCCTGACAGAAATGAAGACAGACTATGTACAAAAAAAGTCAAAGCAAAGAGGGCATTACTTTGGGCAACTGGAGAATAATAGTAGACATATTGTAGTCTCACAGTTACCAAAAGAACTTTCTTCAAAGCTTTTTCTAAATGTGTGAGAGGAAAAGGTGTGATGTGTGAATATGTCACTGAGCAAATACAAAATGTGATAAAGAATACAGCAGGTGATTCAATGTCCTATAAAGCCCCAGTGCACAATGAATCAGAGCTAACCAGACACTTTATATGCTACAAGTGCACCTCGATCAGATTTTGCCACTTTTTTTTCTTAAATACAACTTAGGTTTTCCTAAATTACTCTATAAGAACTGTCAGTCTTTTAACTAATCACTCCCATACTCCACCAGACCTGTCCAAGTGAAGTTGGCTAGCACTCTAGCTGGCAGACACGTACTCCTCTGACAGTTTTCTGGCACATTGGCAAGATTCTGCCTGGCTCTGAAGCACAACTTTAACACCCTAAGAAAATGGCAGTTCTGCCAATATGCTAGAAAAAGTAAAAAGAGACTGACAGGAGTTAGTCTTTTTGGATGGTGCACTGACTTGTTTACAGATGGTCCTTTGTTCATGAAGAGGAGTTAGTTCCTATTGGAAGGAACTATGTGCCCTACATGTAGCTGGGAACCGTGAAGGAAAGACATACAAAAGACAATTATGTAATTTTATGGGTCTATTTGAATTGATGAGAGCCAAGAAACTTAAGAGTTAAGGATGGTGTCAGCCCTAATTTTGGATTTCTTGGCTTCTGTTGACTTATGCTGTGACCTTTCACATTAAAAACACTTCTGTAGTTCATAAAGACAAAAAACTTTTTGAGGAGTTTATAAAGCAACTATTTAGCCTTTTGGGTAACAACACATTTAGGTTAACTAATAACTGTTTTATTAAGTTGACTTCAGAGCTGCTGCACACTCAGGACAGCTTTGAATAGAGGTGTTCTGATTTCCACAGTGCCTGTGTGTAATACTGAGATCCTGTGACAACTGAGTTTTGGACACCTGACAACAGCATCACCAGGCTGTTACACCGTCCCACCTATCAAGTTACAATAAGTTTAAAAATCTAGAAAAAAGTCCTTTTTTCCCTCTGAAGCTTCCTAGATTGATGTGGTAGCCAAATTTTATCCTTGTCACGGGTCTGGCTCCAAACTTGACTAACAAAAACCAGAATTGCTCAGATTGCATGGCTTAGGCTAATTCGGTTTGACTGCTGCCCTAGCCCAGCTGGCTGGGGCTGTATAGAGGTCTTTGTTGAATAAACTAAGGAACAGTTACAAAAAACCCACTAATGACAAAAAGGTTAAGCTCAAAGCCACATTAGAAGCACCCTTTCTACAAGGGAGGAAGCACTCTTACCCTGTTCAGTGGACTGTTCTAGTCTTGAGGGTCTGGCTCTAAAGCCACCATAAAAACTTAGTGCTTTTCTCTTTCTTACAGCAAACTCGAATTAAGGATTTCATGATCTATACTAATCACTTGCCCAAAAGGTCTTTTCTACATCACAATTACTTACATTCAGAGGCTTATGCCTCATGGTTTGAAGTTAAAAGGTGGCAAAATCTGAAAGCAAGTTTTAATGCAATCTCCTGGGACACAAACAAGTGGGAGAGCAACTATCAAAACGGATCCAGCACCACAGGAATATGACATCTTTCTTCCAAAACTGTTCAGAACAAATCACATGGATCAAAAAGTTCAAAGACTGTGCCAGATACAAAAATGTAAGGGGAAGAAATCTGTCTTAAGCACTTACTCAAGGGGAACATTGAACAGAAAGCAAAGTAAATTTTTTGGTTTAAGCTACCAGTGCTACTGCATCAAAAGTACTTAAATGAATGGCTCTCATTTCTAGAATCTTTCTAACTGTGTAAATTGACAGCTGGGGAAGCAATAACCAATACCTCTTCACAAACAGTAGAAAAGCGGTTGAGGAACTGCACTGTGTGAACCACAAACTGGTTTAGAAATGCCACAGTTCTCTTCTGCTGAATGGCAGGAACCTGCATTAAACAAGACAAGAAAACCAGGTTATATATTGATGTCAATTTCTGACATTTGGATTCAAGTACCTCTTAAAAATGCAAATGTTTTAGAAGAAATGACTCATGAAATCTGTCTTAAGACCATTTTTAATACACAGATATGTACAGATCCATACATACAAATCCTTGGTCACTAAACATCTACTAATGTGGACAGTGAGAAGTGGCAGGATACACAGAAAAGGCAACAAGATCCACATAAATGAAGGGATCTAAGAAAACACCTTGAGATGAAATCATGAACATTCTTGAAAATCAGGATTTTTACAAGAGAGGAAACTAGAATCTTTCCTTCTGAAGCTTAAGAAGGAAAAGCAAACTTGGTTGTCCATACTAATCCTCAGTCACAACCAACACCATAACCAAAACAAAAGTGTAGCAATGTCACTGTTCCAGTATTCAGTGGCTCCCCATTCTTTTTCTTATTTGCCAGCCCAGACTATTCCAAAACTTCCAGAAATTACCACCAAGTCAGATCCAAAGCTCACACACTTTTCAGACTAAAAGGCAGAATCTTGTTTGCCAACAACAAATCTGGTGCTCACAATATAACAGGCAGTTGTCACTTTTATTTAAACCACTGCAGAAGACTGGTATCAGGAGCTGCCACAAAAAAAGTTTCTATACCTTTCTATACTTAGTTATAACAGTTACATACTCAGACTTTTAAGTTTTACATATATTTGATATACTTTTATATACTTAAGAGTTCCCGAGGGTTAACTACCTTGGTCAAATGCTTTAAGTCTTACACTTCACAGAGGAAATTAAGTCTGTGAAATTGTCACTGGTTGAAGTGAAAGATTTACAAGTAAAAATCTTTACAGCCAAGCTTCAGCTGCACTGAACATCAGTTTGGGAATATTTTGACTCCCTGGTATTCACCTCTTCTTTAGTCACAGTCATTCACTACCAATCTTAAAAATTTCTGATTTTCTGTAAGACTTTTCTTGCTACTACCTCCAGTTTGCAGCACGTACACCTCTATGGTTTGCTAAAGCTCAGCTCTGTTTCCAACACTTGTCAAACAGTGCTCACTACCTCAGCAGAAATTCACAGGGCAGGACAGAGGATGGAAGGATCACTGGAACAGTGGGAACTGTTCTCTCTTTATGCTCTGTATTTGGCAAACAAAGACTTAAAGGAAAGGTTTTGCATGGCCCGGATCAGGAACAGCATGGCCAGCAGGACCAGGGAAGTGATTCTGCCCCTGGACTCGGCACTGGTGAGGCCACACCTTGAATCCTGAGCTCAGTTCTGGGTCCCTCAGTTCAGGAGGGATATTCAGGTGCTAGAGCAGGTCCAGAGAAGAGCAACGAGGCTGGTGAAGGGACTCAAGCACAAGTCCCATAACGAGAGGCTGAGGGAGCTGGGGTTGTTTAGCCTGGAGGAGGCTCAGGGGAGACCTTCTCACCCTCTACAACTCCCTGACAGGAGGCTGGAGTCAGGTGGGGGTTGGTCTTTTCTCCCAGGCAACCAGCAAGAGGACAAGAGGGCACAGACTCAAGCTCTGCCAGGAGAGGTTTAGGTTGGATATTAAGGAGAGATTGGAATGGGCTGCCCAGGGAGGTGGTGGATTCACCATCCCTGGAGCTTTTCAAGATGAGACTAGATATGGCACTTGGTGCCATGGTCTAGTAACCACAGTAGGGTTCCACTTGATGATCTTGGAGGTCTTTTCCAACCCGGCTGCTTCTATGATTCTATGAATAAGTGGATTTAGATGCGACTTGCTTTGCACATCTATGAATGAAATGCTTTCGCCTTTCAATTAAGACTATGGCAGAACTGGTAGCAAAACGCCTTTGGGAAGGATGACCACGGCGCTCCTGGAGATGAAGCTGCGGTGCAGACCCAGCCCGTCCCCACCGCGGGAGCTATGCCGCGGGTGCGACG